AATACTATGGAAAACACAGGTATTCAGACCCAAGCAAGGAGAGAGGGGAATGGGTTTTCGGTGGGTAATATGTTAAGGAGTGTGAAAGAGTGTTTATAGAGCATGAGGGTATGGATGGGAATGAGTTCGTATGAGTATCGTAGATTGGAAGAGATATAGGAAAATATGAAAATTGTAAGGATTAATTTGAAGGTAACGCAGGGAATAGGGGAAATATGCTGCATATGGCCATGGCACAAGTGGAGGGGGCAGTGTTGATATGATGTATCAAAAAATAATTTGCTTGTCAGTTTGTATGATGAGCTCATGTTTAGGTAGAACCAAAAGTGTATGGATGTTAGACTTAGAGCCCTATCTGGGAGCTATCGTTAGGGGTGAAGATGCAAGATAGCAAAGGAAATCAACATGTTTCAAGACTCTTAGGCCCAGGTTCGGTATGAGTTGGGGGTGGGTCATGTTATTTTATGTTCTCATTCTTGGGGCCATGTTACTTTATGCATTTGAAAGAACAGGGCCACAAGAAAATATGCCATGGGAAATGAAAATGCACCAGCCAACCCCCCCCCCCCCCCTTAACCAGTCCCTTGTTACATTTGAAGGTGTTTAATAGCTAGAAAATTAAACATTTACCCTTTTATTTTCATCCCTGAACGTCTTGAGGTAATCATGCCTATTTTTTCTGTCTTGTGCGTCCTGGTGTAAACAAGCTTTGTCGTAGTTAATGGCAAATTCGCTTTCACCAAATCTGTTCTTCATAAACGTCCTGTGGTTCTCATCACGTTCTTCAATCTGCTGCTGAAGTGATATTCTGTTCCGCCTCCTTTACATGAAAACGAAAAGAATTTTATTTCTTAAAGAGCCAATCACCAACCGGAAGTGGTTTTGAAGTAATGTGTAATGTGTAAACATTTCGAGTACCATAGTTACGACAAGGGTYGGAAAAAGTCAACATCTTTTACATTCAAGCTGATTTAGCAACGTCATACGTATGATATTATTCGTAGCTGCTATTTCAAGATATCTATAGTTTATTTTGGAGCTATTTAGGCTTAAAAAATAATATTTAAAAAAACCACAAAGTTACTCTTGATGTGGTTTGTACCTCACTAACACCTGACTTTTGAATGTACAATTATTTACTTTAAGTACATAGGAAAGAGTGAAAAGTCAAGAATTCAAGAGGCTACTTACCGCACTTCTTCCCTCTCAGTAGAATTCCCGTACACAACTTTAACATAAGCTTCGTTTCTTCTTCTATGAGCGTCRCGTTTGTTGATCAGCTTCATTTGTTCGTCATCAAGATGCGTCTTACTTGTCTCTGAAGACGCGGTCTTTTTGCTCTCCGGAGTCCGAAGATTTTTAGTATTACTCATTTGGACTGAATGTATCGAGGTGCTTTGAAATCAAAAGTTCTTTTTGAAAGTTAAAAGGCAAATTTTTTATGAACCAAAGTCTTCCAAACCAAAGTCTTCCAAACCAGCACGCGCAAAATGGAAAATGGTTCGAAGGAATTAGCGTTGCTATGACGATGTAACCGCTGACTTGATCCTTATGTCAGAGCTCGTACTTCAAAAAGTCGTTGGATTTTTTTTTTATTTCTAACAAAACACCATATTGTTATCTTCTGAAAATTGGTATCTGATATCATTGTCTCCAAAGACAATATACTTAAGAAAACTGCCTAAATCATTGGCCTTGCAACGTATGGTATAAAACGTATATGTCATGACATACATATCAGTCTTCAAAGAAATTGAATTTTTTTATAACTCTTAATTTAGAAAAAAGTCTTAAATAGACAAGTATTTTAATGTTATTTTTACTAAGCCGATGTTATTTTTAAGATGTTCTTTTAATGAAACATAAGCGAAAATAAAAATGAATAAATAAAACAACAAAACTATGAGTTGAAAAACAAATTAATTTATTGATATTTTGGAATTATTTCGTACCGTTATATGACCGACGGGCGGTCATTTCCCCTATTTATTTTTTACATCCGGGATATTTGTAGCGCGGGCTTCCCGAKGTACTTTTCGCGCGCCATTGTATTATAGCAAATGCCCAAATGTATGTCCCGATTGACTGAAGTGTAGAGTAAAAATATCACGGTAGGTATGACTATTTTATCTCTCTTACCACTCATTACGGTAAAACTGCCATCCATACCAACATCAGATTGCATAGGAATCCTTCCATTATAACGAATTCCCGCCATCATACTAAAACGAGAGTGACAAACGGTCAGTGTCTTGGGATGATTTTGAATAAAGTGCTTTGTACTTTGATAAATGGAGACGTATTTTATATGCAAAAAGAAGATCTTTTTAGGCACTTATTTGGTTTACTGAAGAGCTATTTAGCCTACAATTGCTGTTGTTTAGAGGAAAATAGTATTATAAACATTTGCGTGCGCGAGGAATCATCATAATTGTCGCGATATAATTTTCGCGCGTTACAAACTTGTTAGATCCTCGTGCATCAGTAACATCAAAAATATCGAGATTTTCTTGAAATCAACTACAAAAATGTTTCTTTCAATTCGTCAGATTATTTTATTTCAAAATTTGTATCTCGAATATTGTTTCTCGATCTTTAGCCATGGTATCATTCGGCTTGATGACAGTCTTTCAAATAACTTTATAGTGTGAYATGTGACAATTTTTCAAAACTTTATGGTTGCAACACGTAATTTTGTCCAAGCTGCTACATAAGAAAACAGATGTCTATTTGCTCGCCATCCCCCCTCGAAAGTAACGTCTGAGTTACAAGCCGTGAAATAAACTTTATTTATTGTGTTTTAAAGTACAAATCAAAAAAGCGTGGGCACCTAGAAATATTTCAAGAATGTTTAATAGCCAATCAGAAGTGTTATTGCTATCTTTCCTTTATTTTTTGGTTAGAAAGTCAATTCTGATTGGCCAAAGAAGAAYATAACATTCCTAGAATATTTCTAGGTGCTCATGGTTTTTCGATTTACACTGTAAAATACCAATGTGTAGTTACAGAAATTATCTATACCCCCCCCCCCCACAGATGAATTTGAGGTAGGGGGGGGGGTGAGAGAAAGAACAAAATTACAGAGTTTGTATGGAAGGAAATTGGAATTACGGGGGGAGGGGGGTATGAATAATTTCTGCAAAATATACAATATCTGTTTATTTAATATGCCATTCTGCAAATGTTTTTCCTTTAAAGGAAAATTACTGATATAGCAATACTTCTCCCTTCCAGATATGACTGATTATAATATTATGGAGGTATGACAGATTGAGGTACATGTAAGTAAAGCRAACATGGACAAAGCTGGAGATGGTGTGAGTAAAAAAACAAAGAGAACATTGGAAGAAATACTCAAAAACAGAAAGAAAGCAAAGAAGCCAAAAATGGTTGTAGGTAAATGTCAGTCGACATAAATATGTAGAGGTTATTTACTGGCCAGGAGGCTCAGATAGGGAAAAACTTTGACTAATATCTTGAATATATGCCGAACAAGGCCATTTGGCCAAAGCCTGTGTTGGGTTTATCAGTCCAATGAAGGTCTATCATTGGTCTATCATTAATCTTTGTGGGGCTATTGAATACTTATGGTATATGACTGCATTGTTGATGGTGTATTGATGTATTGAGGGTCTATCATGGTCTATCAGTCTGCTGATGGTTGATCATTGATGGTCTGAGCTACTGTATTAAATACTGATAGTATATCTCTATATTATTGATGGCCCATTCATGTTTYGAGGATCCATCACTGAGTATTGATGGTCTATCTATCTAATGAGGGTCTACAGCTGTATTGATTTKCTGTCAGTGTACTAAGCATCTACACTATGACATTTAAGTAATTTTAGTATAATGGTCTCAAACTATTTAAATATCTATCAGATGAATATTTATCCTAAAAAGACATTTATACATCTTTGTAGCTGTTTCTAATGAAGACGACATWAATGATTTTTTCACCTGGGAAGAATATCTTGAGAAATGCAGAGCTAGAGCTGTTCCTAAATCTGCCTTCAAACATGTACCAGTAAGTTGTTGACTGATTAAAATCTATAAGGCTGCATTCATAATTTATG